GGGGGTGAATCCCGGTTGGCACCATGGCCCATGAGTACTAATCCCCCGCAGGGATTCGGCGCGCACGCGAGTGTTTCCGTAACGACAGGTCACGCTCCCGCGGGGGCTGATCACCGCCGCCCGGCTCCTCCGCCGGTGCGTCTCGGCTGCAGCAAGCACCGCCGTTCAATCCCGCTGGGGAGCTCTCCTGCGCTCGGGTCTACCGCGTCGTAAGCCTGCGCCGCGGAATCTCCACCCTGTGGGTCACCGCCGCGGAAATTTCCGTCGCGAAAATCTCCGCCCGCAGGGGTCCCTGCCTCTCGACCTGGGTCGTGGTAGTCCGCGCCGCGGTGGGTTCAGCTGATCAGGTCTCCGCCGCACGAGGCTCCGCCGCCGGGATCGCGGCGCGCTGGCCGCCGTCATTTAGCAGGCGGCGGCCAGCGTGAGGACGAGCAGGGCTGGAAGGGGTGGCCGCTCCCTGGCCGCCGGCCGGCGGCGCGCTGGACTTGGCCTCCCACTGCTGCACCCGGTCGGCGGCGTTACAGCGCGCAACGTTGCACGGGCAGACTGTCAGACCACGCTCATTTGAGCACCGCAGGTCCGAGTCGAGCGGCACCCGGCCGCAGCCTGAGTGCCTCCCAGTTACCTGCGGGGACGGTGGCGGGGACGCGTCAGTGAAGACGACGTCAGCGGGGCGGCGTCGGTTTGCGCACTTCCGCTGAGGGCACTACCGCTGAGGGCCACTACCGCTGAGAACACTGCCCGTAAGGGCACCGCTGGTGGGGGTGCCGTCAGCGAGACATTGCCAGTAAGGGCACCATCATGGAGGGCGCCGTCAGCGAGACATTGCCAGTGAAGGCACTATCAGCGAGGGCGCCGTCAGCGAGGCAGTGCCAGTGAAGGCACTATCAGCGAGGGCTGAGGCCAGCAAGGGCAGCGCCATTGAACCCGATGCCAGCGAGCGCTACGTCCGTGGAGGCCACATCAAGCCAGGGTTGAGCCATGCGTAGAAGATAGAACAACGGGGTCGTTAGCCGGCTACCGGCGAAGGCGACGTGTGCGCGCCTGACCCAGTTTGGAGACGGCTTGGGCATGTGGCTTGCCCCACTTACTGTGCGTAATGTGGAGGCAGACGGCTTCCTCGTGGTTCCCAGGGCAGCTAGCCTGGGCTGGTTCTTTGGTGTGGACGAATTGGCCGCACACCTGTGACGGGGAGGGGGAAGGGGAGGGGGGACGGTCAGTGCCGGCTGAAGAGGCTGGTCTGATGGGCGGTTTCGATCAGCCGGCATGAGCGCGCCAAGGCCTCCCTGTGTCCGTGACGTCATTTGTGCGGGAAAGGCGTCCGTGCGACATTTGGTATTGAGTAGGTGACGGTGTCACATGGCAAACAATATATTTCACCTACAAGTTCACCTTTCACCTGCGGTTCACCTGCATCTCGGCTCACCTCTAGTTCGATTCAGCTGCACCTCGACTCACCACCAACGCGGTTCACCTGCAGCTCAGCTCACCTCTAGCTCGGTTCACCTGCAGATCGGCTCGCCTCTACCTCGGTTCACCTGCATCTCGGCTCGCCTCTAGCCTGGTTCAATTGCAGCTCGGCTCACCCCTCGTTCGGCTCACCCGCAGCTCGGCTGCCCTGTAGCGCGCTTCACCTATAGCTCCCCGGACGCCTGACTGGTGGCTGGGCTCACCTGAAAATCAGTCTCGGCCTTGTCCTCGAATGTCCGGCTGATGTTGGCGCGCCACTTGTTGGCCTCACGCATTGCCACTTTGTTCCCACTCAGCGCCGGAACGCAGACGTTGCAGAGCAGACACTCGCCTACGGCAACGGCGGCACAGGGGTCGAGCTCAGGTCAGTGGTCAGTTTAACTCAGGAAGGAGCGCAGCGAATGCCATCATTTTCCGGCTTCTTTACCAAACAAGCAGCTGGAGAAGTTCGGCTGCGGTCCCACGCCACTGGCCGTTGAGCGATTAAACCGTAGTGCCCCCTGCTGCGCTCACTGCTCACTGTAATCACGTCAGCCAAAACACATTCCCTGGTCTCGGTGACGCGCCCAGACATGCCTTTGGGGAATGACACTTAAGATTCCGTGAAAAGGAACAATAGTCGTCATGCACGAATGAGTGTGTGCCGGGGAGGGACTGATGGGGGGGGGGGGGGGGGAGGGAGGGAGTCTTCGCAGCCCACGCGCTGTATACACCGCCGCCGGACTATTGAACGCTCGTGACGGCGTCACGGGGTGGGCAGGCGCAACAGAGCGGGCAGCTGTTTCCGTTTGTTTTGTTGAAAGGTGTAGCTCATGGTTGATGGCAATAAATGACGGACGTGATATTTTACTAAGCCAGTAAGGTGAAAGGCCTTTCTTAAACTTACGAAGTACCGCTACTTGAGGAAAGCTTTTGTCCGCTCGAATATCGTTTTAGTCTTCAGTTCCGCAGTGGAAAGCCTGGAACAACCAAAACTTGATATGAACTTACGTTAGGAAACCTTATATTTGAGTTGTGAAATATTTTATATTTGCTCTTTCCCCAAAAAGAAATTGTGAAATCGCTCAGTAGCCATTTTCACAGCTGCTTAACGCGCGCCACATTTTGAACCAGCTTAGGTATTTGGGTAAACCAAGCAGGTATATCGATGCTACGAGATGCCTCCTCCCAATACATTTAATTTAAAAACTTGGAAACCTGCGTTGCGTTCCCGCCCATAGACCGTATGCGCCTTATGCTTGACGCGCTGTAGATCTCCACGTGACATGATTCCTGGAGGCATCCCATTTTTGCCTTGCAATATTTTACGCGAGCTTTTATACCAAACATTGATTACGAATATTTCTGGGCTGGACGTCAACGACGAGCAGTATCGTGCTGGTTGTTGCGTTAGTCGTAACCTCACCATCGGATAGTGAAATTTCCGAGCAGCGCAGAACTTTGTGGCGAATGCGTAAAGTGCCGCCATGTTCGGCGCGCCGCATCCTGCCTTCTGACGTCACCTGGTCTTGATCGTTAAGGCTTACACCTGTCGTGGACTTCACGACTCTACCCCATTCCGCCACTGGTGGGTAGATGGGAAGATAGGCATGCTATTGATCATAATTATTGGTAACGCACATTTATTTTGCCAGTAACGCCACAATCTTCATCGCGTTTGCTTGTCGTTGGACGCCAATATTGCGGTATGGAACACGTCCCATTGGTCGGCTATCCAGAGTCGGTATAGACGTCTGCATGATAGCCACGGCCGAGGCCGCCGTGCGTTATTAGGGCTGTCGGTGGGATGTGGCGGGCGACCGATGCGGTACAGATACCGACCGATGCCAGCTTGACTAGTCGACAGCGAGGTGCTGCTTCGATCACGCTCGGGACTGCCTCCAGGCGAGGCTGAAGGTGCATTCACAGCGTACGAGCAATTCTCTGCTCCTTGTGACGTCACGTGGAATGTTTGCCGGGCGTGTTCGCAGCTTGGTACGTTTTCTGTTCACACGTTCGTAGTATTCACGACAATAGGTGCTTCTGCAGGACATAGCTATTATTGTATGTACCAAGCGTGTACAATGCTTGCTGACGAGCGTGGGTAACATATGAGAGCCGCAAACTTCGATGTTTGTTACGTCGGACACGCTCCCTTTTTACACGTCAACTGTTGCATCCGCACAAATTAAGTTGTTAAAAATGGACGTTTTGCACGATTCTGTGGTACTTCGTTCAAAATGATTGAAAAAGACGGCACGTCCGACAAAAATTATACGTGCTGTCAGGTAAAATCTTTGCCATCCGTGTTTCACGGAATATGTAAAGGAATCTCAGGATCCGTGGGTATGACGTCCTAATTGACGTCGATCGCATAGATTCTTTGTCGTCCGAGTGTCTGCGAATTCACCCCGAGGCTCGCCTGAGACTGGTCCCCGAGGCTTCCAGTTTCCAAGGCAATCTTAGGCTTTCCGCGCGTGGTGGAGAAATGTCCTGACAAGTAACTGGGATGTGAGACGAACGACGTATTCAAAATGGCGTTGCGAGCACCAGATGTGATGCACTGTACTCCTGGCTGGGATCAAATCGAATCAGAAGGTTTTACGGGTGGAATGCGAGAAAGTTTTCAAGGTAATTGGCCACAGGTCAAACAAATCAACGGCAGTCTGCTATACGACGCGCTTTGGTTCAGAACAAGGTGGCGGGGCGAGACTCGTTTGGAGCCCCGCGTGAGGCTGTGGGACCTCAGGGCGTCTGGCAACATCCCGAACATGTTTACCAGGCACGCGATGTTGTATTTGGATGCAGCTGACTGGCTGGCCGGGAGCCGCCGGTTCTGCCGCTCATCAGGCTGTGCGTCTGCAAGCAAGCGTCCTCGTACCTCGTGATGGGGGGTAGCCCAACCGCCTGCCTTCAGCGGCGAATGGAGCGGTGGCCCCTGGATTGATTGTCTTGCTTGCATGCTATTGTGCATCCTTGATATCTATCCTAGCATCATCTGCTGCGTATAGTTGAATCGTTTTCCTGTCGCATGCATTTTTTTAGTTGCGGTGTTATGAATGATGCTTCCAGGTATGCATTTATGCTCACCACATCGTACCCCATTGTCATAAGTCAGCCCTTCAGAGGCAAATGAAGCAGTCTTCATTCCAAGACGCGCGTTTCCGCCAGGGATGGGTCAAATACCGTCATATATGGTTGATGGCCTGATCAGCTGGAGACGAGTGCAGTCGCCTTCGACTGGGCCGGACCTCGCTCGGCCAGCCGGAGACAGCCCGCTGCTGTCGGCGGTGCGTGGTTGTCGCGCCCCGCTCGGAGCTCATCACGCTCTCATGTTGTCCACCTCGTCACGGAAAAATCATGCAGAGGCGAGGGATGTGGTCGATGCCCCTCAGATCATTGTTTACACTGGGTGCGAACATTGTCACGTTCTACCGGTTGTTTGGTTGTCTGGATTTGATCCTTTTCCGTCAGACATGATCATTTCAGGACTATGGGATGAAGGATGGGGTTAACAACGGGGCAGACTCGCGTGCGCCTGGGGGGCCAACCGCCGAGCTTAAGCCCGCGCATGCGCGCTGGGTACCCGATCGGGGTCCCCTTCTCATGGGGCTCTCGGCCCACTCGTGGCTGACAGATGCAGCCTGCCCCGGACAAGCGGGGTGTCGCGAGGATGCAAGATGAAGCAAAATAGAGGATATGAGGGTCGGATGTGCCGCCAGGTAGGGAGGGTTTGAAAAAGAGCGTCGCCAAACAACAGACTCCCACACAAACCCGACTTGGGGCTTGGTTGAGCCGGTCTCGGTCTGCCGGGGCTGGGGGCAGCACGGAGCTACTGACCCGCTCTCGATTACCGTACCAGAATTAAGCAAACTCTGACTGGCGCTTGAGCGGACCTGGGGCCGACCCACGGTCGGGTCTCCGACTGCTGGGCCCTGGGTCACCGTAGAGGACGCCGCCGGGCCTCTGACCGGCCCCGGCTCTGGGATTTGGGCCACTCACCGGCCACGATCAGCGCCAGGATGACGACGGCGACGGCCAGCGTCCGGCGCGCCATGCTGCCGCAGCGGTGCTCGGTGCTGCTGATGGCGGGTGGACGCCGCGCTGAGGCTGCTCGCGCTGCCGGGGTGGCCAGTGGCGCCGGGTTGCGCCCTTGCCGCCCGGCCGCCGCGCTGTTTACCGCCGTTACCGGGCGCCAGGCGTAACTGAAACACGACGCCATATCGACCACGGAGTGCCCCGGGCCGGTCCACGACCCGACCCGGACCGTGGTCATAACCGGGCGGCGGCGTGACGCCCCTCCGACACACCGACACGGACGCCGGCACCTGCACCGGCACCGGCTGATGTTCCTCACGCAGTCGCTGGTTCTCCACAAAAGGGTGCGCCACGACATGCGTCGCGATCCCGAAACGAAAATAGTTGCGCGAATTGATCCCGGTGCACGGCGTGGTTCCATGTCTAGGCAGGGAGGGACAAAGTTTTCTGGTGCGCTCGGCGACGATAAAAGACAGGTGAAACGTGGTTTCGAAGTCAAAATTGTATTAACGCGATATGAGGTGAAGTCTTCGAGATAATTAAGATTAGCAACGTGTTGTCATGACTATCAATTGAATCGTGGGACTTGTGGGTTCTGATGTTAAAAGCTACTCATTTTTTGTCAATTGTGCGCTAATCCGAAAGCTGAAAACGGCGTCATTTCATCACATTGGCGTTCGGGGTATGCACACTTTCCGGACAGGCAGACTCTGTCACCAACTGGGCTTGAGCAAACATTTCGCGACTTGCACCAGGACACATGAAAGCCAGAACTCGCTCAGCCTCCGGACGCCAACGCTTGCTGACCGGCTGACCAGTGCCGGTGTGAGTCGGGCTCGTTGTCGGCTGCGGCGTCGTCGTCGCACCGCAGCGAGGCCGCGCGGCGGGTGCGGTGTTGGCATTACCGCGCGGCGGCAGGCGCAGCCGGCGCCACAGTCTCTGGCAACCCGGCGTGGCGCCGGCGCCGGCGCGCGACCGGTCGGCCCGGGCCGGCCGCTGCGCGCCGCAGGGATTCGGCGCGCACGCGAGGATCCCGTGACGACCGGCCATGCCGCCGCCGGGGCTGATCACCGCCGCCCGGCTCTTCGCCGGTGCGTCTCGGCTGCAGCAAGCACTGCCGTTCAATCCCCGCTGGGGAGCTCTCCTGCGCTCGGGTCTCCGCGTTGTAAGCCTGCGCAGCGGGTCTCCACCCGTGGGTCACCGCCGCGGAAATTTCCGTCGCGAAAATCTCCGCCGCAGGGTCCCTGCCTCTCGACCTGGGTCGTGGTAGTCCGCGCCGCGGTGGGTCCAGCTGATCAGGTCTCCGCCGCACGAGGCTCCGCCGCCGGGATCGCGGCGCGCTGGCCGCCGTCATTTAGCAGGCGGCGGCCAGCGCGAGGACGAGCAGGGCTGGGAAGGTGGCCGCCCCCTGGCCGCCGGCCGGCGGCGCGCTGGACTTGGCCAACCACTGCTGCACCCGGTCGGCGGCGTTACAGAGCGCACCCTGGCACGGGCAGATGAGCGCGCCGCCGCAACATGTCCAGCACTGCATGTCCGAGTCGAACGGCACCCGGCCGCAGCTCAGTGCCTCCCAGTTATCTGCGGGGACGGTGAGGTGGACGCGTCAGTGAAGACATCTTCAACGGGGCGGCGTCGGTGAGAGCACTAACGGTGAGGGTACTACCGCTGAGGGCACCACCGGTGAGGACACTGCCAGTAAGGGCTCCGTTGGTGGGGGTGCCGTCAGCGAAACGTCGCCAGTAAGGGCACTATCAGCGACGGCGCCGTCAGCGAGGCAGTGCCAGTGAAGGCACTATCAGCGAGGGCGAGGCCAGCAAGGGCAGCGCCATTGAACCCGATGCCAGCGAATGCTATGTCCGTGGAGGTCACATCAAGCCAGGGTTGAGCCACGCGTAGAACATAGAACGACGGGGTCGTTAGCCGGCTGCCGGGGAAGGCGACGTGTGCACGCCTGACCCGTTTGGAGTCCGCTTAAGCACGTGGCTCGTCTCACTTACCGTGCTTAATGTCAAGGCAGATCACACTATCGTCGTTCCAAGGGCAGCTGGCCTGGGCTTGTTCTTTGGTGTTGTCGAATTGGCCGCACACCTATGACAAGGGGGAGGGGGGAAGGTCAGTGCTGGCTGAAGAGGCCGGACGGAGGGGCGGTTCGATCAGCCGGTATGAGCACACCAAAGCCTCCATGTGTTGGTGACGTCATTTGTGCAAGGAAAGCGTCCGTGCGACATTTGGTATTGAATAGATGACGGTGTCACATGGCAAACAATATATTCGACCATTGTTTACGGCACTATAGTCATTTTACGCTTCGTTCTGTTTTAGCAAAATTTACACAGATGGGTGCTTATGACTGACCTTTTGCATAGAAACATCATACTCCCAGGACTGGTAAAAACGCATTTCCCAATGAGAGATGCTCTGTTTGGGGACAAATGGGCTTGCGTATTTAGCTACGCTCGGCGAGAGAAGGGGCGACGCCGCCGCTGCCACATGTGTGGTAAAATAAACCACGCAGCGCACGTGATTATTCGATGATGGCACTTCGTGTAACGCTCAAACCGCTGGCAAAGTTATCTGACCTTAATAAGGCCAGCCCAGTAAGGCTGTAGCGCTGGAGCGCCACTTAACTTGATTTTGCGTGACTCGGTTCACCTGCAGCTCGGCTCTCCTCTCGCTCGGTTCACCTGCAGCTCGGCTCTCCTCTCGCTCGGTTCACCTGCAGCTCCGTTCACCTCTAGCTCAGTTCACCTGCTGCTCGGCTCGCCTCTAGCTCGCTTCATCTGCAGCTCGACTCACCTCTAGTGCGGTTCACCTGCGGCTCAGCTCGCCTCTAGCGCGCTTCACCTATAGCTCCCTGGACACCTGACTGGTGGCTGTGCTCACCTGAAAATCAGTCTCGGCCTTGTTCTCGAATGTCCGGCTGATGTTGGCGCGCCACTTATTGGCCTCGCGCTGTGCCACATTGTCCCCACTCAGCGCCGGAATGCAGACGTTGCAGAGTAGACACTCGCCTACGGCAACGGCGGCAAAGGGGTCGAGCTCAGGTCAGTGGTCAGTTTAACTCAGGAAGGAGCGCATCGAATACAAGCATTTTCCGGTTTCCTCGCTAAGCAAGCAGCTGGTGAAATCGGCTACGGTCCCACGCCACTGGCCGATGAGCAATTAAATCCTAGTGCCCATTGCTGCGGTCACTGCTCACTGTAATCACGTCAGCCAAAACGCATTCCCTGGTCTCGGTGACGCGTCCAGACATGCCTTTGGGGAATGACACTTAAGCTTCCGTGAAAAGGAACGATAGTCGTCATGCCGAATGAGTGCGTGCCGTGGAGGGACTGATGGGGGGGGGGGGAGGGAGTCTTCGCAGCCCACGCGATGTATACGCCGCCGCCGGATTATTGAACGCTCGTGACGGCGTCACGGGGTGGGCAGGCGCAACTGAGCAGGCAGCTGTTTTCGTTTGTTTTGTTGAAAGGGGGCGCTCGTGGTTGATGGCAATAAATGACGGACGGGATTTTACTAAGCCAATAAGGTAAAAGGCCTGGCTTAAACTTTAGAAGTACCGCCACTTTGGGAGAGCTTTTGTCCCCTCGAATATTGTTCAAGTCTTCAGCCCCCCAATGGAAAGCCTGGACCACCTGAAACCTTATATGAACTTACGTTAGGAAACTTCAGTTTTGATTTGATATTGTGTGTTGTTTGTTCCTTGCCCAAAGAAATTGAGTGAAATCCCTTAGCAGTCGTTTTCACAACTGCTTACCGCGCGTTACATTTTGAAGCAGCTTAGGTATTTGGGTAAACCAAGCAGGTATATGGATGCTACGAGATGCCTCCGCCCATTGTATTTTGTTTAAAGAACTTGAAAACCTGCGTTGCGTTCTCGTCCATAGACTGTATGTGCCTTATGTTTGATGCGCCGTAAATCCCCATTTGACATATGATTCCTCGAGGCATCCCATTTTTGTCTTGGACTATTTTACGCGAGCTTTTATACGACATATTGATTACGAATATTTCGGGGCTGGACGTCAGCAGTGAGTGGTATCGTGCTGGTTGTTGCGTTAGTCGTAACCTCACCATCGGATCGGGAAATTTCCGAGCAGCGCAGAACTTTGTGGCGAGTGCGTAAAGTGCCGCCATGTTCGGCGCGCTGCGTCCTGCCTTCTGACGTCACCTGGTCTTGATCGTTAAAGCTTACACCTGTCGTGGACTTCACGGCTCTACCCCATCCCTCCACGGGTGGGTAGATGGAAAGGTAGGTATGCTAACAGTCATAATTATTGGTAACGCACATTTGTTTTGACAGTAAAGCCACAATCTGCATGGCGTTCGCTTGTCGTTGGCCGCCAATAATGCGGTATGGAACACGCCCCATTGGTCGGCTATCCAGAGTCGGTATAGACGATAGGCACGATAGCCACGGCCGAGGCCGCCGTGCGCTATTAGAGCTGTCGGTGGGATGTGGCGGGCGACCGATGCGGTACAGATACCGACCGATGCCAGCTTGACTAGTCGACAGCGAGGTGCTGCTGCGATCACGCTCGGGACTGCCTCCAGGCGAGGCTGAAGGTGCATTCACAGCGTACGAGCAATTCTCTGCTCCTTGTGACGTCACGTGGAATATTTGCCGGGCGTGTTCGCAGCTTGGTACGTTTTCTGTTCACACGCTCGTAGTATTCACGACAATAGGTGCTTCTGCAGGACATAGCCATTATTGTATGTACCAAGCGTGTACAATGCTTGCTGACGAGCGTGGGCAACATATGAGAGCTGCAAACTTTGCTGTTTGTTATGCCGGACACGCTCCCTTTTTACACGTCAACCGTTGTATCCGCACAAATTAAGTTGTTAAAGATTGGACCTTTTGCGCGATTCTGTCGTACTTTGTCCTAAGTGATTGATAAAGGTGGCACGTCCGACAAAAATTGTACGTGATGTCAGGTAAAATCTTTGCCATCCGTGTTACACGGAATACCCGAAGGAATCTCAGGATTCCTGGGTATGACGTCTTAAACGACGTCGACCGCATATATTCTTTGTCGTCCGAGTGTCTGCGAATTCACCCCGAGGCTCGCCTGAGACTGGTCCTCGAGGCTTCCAGTTTCCAAGGCAACCTTAGGCTTTCCGTGCGTGGTGGAAGAGTGTACTGACAAGTAACTGGGATGTCAGATGAACGACGTATGCAGAATGGCGTTGCGAGCACCAGATATGATGCACTTTACTCCTGGTTGGGATCGAATAGAATCAGAAGGTTTTAGGGGTGGAATGCGAGAAAGTTTTCAAGGTAAATGGCCGCAGGTCAAACAAACTAACTGCAGTCTGCTATACGACGCGCTTTGGTTCAGAACAAGGGCCCCGGTGGCAGGGCGAGACCCGTTTGGAGCCCCGAGTGATGCTCTGTACTTCACCAGGCATCCACCGGGCTTCATAAACGCAGCTAATTTGAACGTGGAGTAGACGTTTACTCCGAAACGGAAGTAAAATAACTAGATGCTCTGGCCCGTCGCAAAATAATCAATGGTGCTCATGCAGGAGCCGGTGCATAGTCATGCTGGAGCAGACCATTGGGCCGGGAATCAACCTGCGGTGAGAGATTATTGTGCTACGGCGCGATGCCAACATATCAAGGGCCAACATATCACATGTCAGCATATGTGAGAAAATCAACGCAACCGCGGTTCGTATAGTAGCTTTGTTGGCATCAAAAACATGAAAACTGTGGTGGGTAAAGCTGACAGGCCGTGATAAATCCCTTTTCGCACACGTCGCGAATTTCACGAGATCGTGTTCTTTTCGTCTGTGGCACGGACGTATATGAAACAAGTCACAAAATGCACGTCCTAGGGTAAGGATAAAGTCAGCCATATCTGGGAGCTTTTGTCGGTGAAGTGCACATTGCCTTGACACGTGGCATGAGAAAGCTCAGAGTATGAACACACGAAACACGGCTTTTTCACTCTTCGAGTAGCGACGCAATATTGAGAATTATAAGATGTCTCTTTTTCAGCGAATCAAAGAGGTGATCATAATAAGTGTATCAATCAATCGCCACACAAATCACAAATTCAACACTAAGTTTGTAAAGACCACGCTTATGTAACCTTAGCGATATTTTTGGATTTATTATAGGCAGCTCAACGTCTCGGGCCCAGAGCGACGACATTGTCGTCATGGGAACCACCGCTTATTCCGTTATTGAAATTACTTCAGTCTTGGCACTTAAGGGTTTACTTCTGAAGAAGGATGACAGGTTTATAAAACCCGCGTAGGAAGTAGGAAGTTATGCCGAAGTTACTTCGGCCAGCCGGAAGTAAGTAGTAGCTTCTCTTTCTGAAACCGGTTACATGTATGGATTTATGCTCAGTACATCATACCCCATTGTCATAAGTCAGTCCTTCAGGGACAAAGAACGCAGTCTGCATTCCAAGACGCGCGCTCCCTCAAGGAACGTTCGGCCAGCCGAAGACAGCCCGCTGCTGTCGGTGGTGCGTAGTTGTCTCGTCCCGCTCGGAGCTCGTCACGCGTCCCCGTTGTCTACCTCGTCACGGAAAAATCGTGCAGAGGCGAGAGATATGGTCGGTGCTTCTCAAATCATTCGTTTAAGCTGGATGCGAACACTGTCACGTGCCGCCCAGTAGGAAGGGTTTGGAAAAGAGCGTTGCTAAACAACAGACTCCCGCACAAACCTGACTGGCGGCTTGGTTGAGCCGGTCTCAGTCTGCCGTGACTGGGGGCAGCACGGAGCTGCTGAGTCGCTTTCAATTACCGTACCATAATTAAGCAAACTCTGACTGGCGCTTGAGCGGACCTGGGGTCGACCCACGGTCGGGTCTCCGACTGCTGGGCCCTGGGCCACCGCAGAGCACGCCGCCGGGCCTCTGACCGGCCCCGGCTCTGGGCTTGCGGCCACTCACCGGCTGCAATCAGCGCCAGGATGACGACGGCGATGGCCAGCGTCCGGTGCGCCATGCTGCCGGAGCGATGTTGGGTGCTGCCAGTGGCAGCTGGACGCCGCGCTGGGGCCACCTGCGACTCCTGGCCAGCCAGTGGCGCCAAATCAGCGCGCGCCGCCCGGCCACTGCGCTGTTTACCTGCCGTAACTAAAACACGGCGCCATATCGACCACGGGGTGCCCCGGGTGCCCACGACCCGACCCGGACCGTGGTCATAACCGATGGGCGGCGTGCCGCCCCTCCGACGCGCCGACACGAACACCGAGCAACGAGGCGACCGATGGCGCCCGCTGCTCGGCCCGGCACCGACGCGGACACCGGCACCGATGTGACGCCTCACGTGGTAGGTCCACGATTTTCTTCCCACTGTCCATTAAAAATACAAGTAAGAAGGTTACCTATGTTTGGCCACAGGATAGTCGGACTCGCTCGCGTTGTGTAAGCAGTGCAGAGTCGCGCCCTGGCGGCGGTCGGACCTCATCTGCCGCTACGTGGTTAACGTCAGCTAATAGACACCGCGGGGCGTTGCCGGGCGACCTCTGATCTCGCGAGAGCGCACTCGAGAACGTTCCATTGCATGTCGCAATGACTGCGGAGATCTGGTACCCGGGCTTAACAAGACTGCAGAAACGCCTTATGATGCACAGCTGTTTTGGTTATCTATAAGGTAAATAAGAGGACGAACTAGGTGGGGAATAACAAGGTATCAATAATAAAACAGACTAGTGAGTACCGACAATGAGATAAATCGTACGAGCACCGACGAACAGAAGTGAAAAATGGGATGAACTATGAAGTGAATAACAAGGTATAAGTCATAGTAGTCGTTACAATAGCCCCCCTCCCGAACCAAAGAATGACAACAGACAACAACTATGATTGGTTGGCAGCAGTGCTGTCAGTCAAGCACGCAGCGACTAATGACGCATCGCGAGTAACCTGAATAGACTGAGTGGCGTTTCTTTAACTTCGTGAGCACGCAATGAAACTTGGCCTAACCAACACCCTAATGCTATGATGTAGCAATCCTACATGACCCTAAACATTTAGCATAATCTAAACTGACTTAAAGCAAGTACCAAATGACGCAGAGTACATGGAACGTGTGCTCTGATGCGACATACACATACATACATCAAACACTGGTCGCGCACTCTGGGGCGACATATGCACACGTCAAAGGCATACATTGCACCGGAAACTAGCCGGCACGCAGTTCTGCAGAACTGAGGGGCGGTTCGCATAGACGTTGCGTTCAGAGCACGACGTGTTCCATACACACGATTATATATACATGCATATATATACATGTATTATATATATATATATATATATATATATATATATATATATACATATATGCATGAACGTGAGCGCTCGCGGCGGTATTCGCTTCGCTGCTAACACATCTGGCACGTGACAAATATCAGGGATTTGGGGTGTTAGGTCAGACCTTCAGACCTCTCGTCTCAGGTCGAGCAGATCGTGGCGTGGCACGCGTTTGCGCAAGGGGACGAGCCACGGCGGCTGGAACCTGATGTGCCGGACCACTCGTGCAGAGAGTAGTGGCGCCAACGGTGGTCACCGCAGGTTCAGGCACAGTAGGCTGAGACGCTGCGTGTTCTTCTGCAACGGGAGCCAGAGGTATCTCGTCGGCTGGTGCTGACTGGGGATTGGACACGTCATTGTTCTGAGCGACAGGGGAGTAGGATCGACGGTGGCGTGAGCTTTTGGGCAAGATACAGAATCAGGCCCGTAATGGCTGGGCAAATGTAACGCAAGGCAAAGGTAAAGCAGCCAGCGATGACTAAGTCAGTGCCAATGGCCATCATGTACACACTATATTTGAGAGACGTCAGACTGTGGCTTCACAGAGCGACGGCTTTTGGAAAATCAAAATATTTGGGAGCGGGTAGGCCGTGGACAGTGAGTTCGGGCGGTGTTGAAATATTTGGAGACTTACGACTCGGCGAGGCGTTCCAAGACGAGCACCAGATGGGTACATGCTGGTCGGTGACTAGAATGTTTGCGTGGAACTGCGGTAACTGAAGTTGCGATTCGCCAAAGTAATATGGGGGGGGGGGAGGGGCAGGAAAAGTATGTCACCGGAGGGTGAACACTCCGTATCACGTTCTAGTGCACTTGCTCTGTCGCGAATAACATAGCTTGGACTGAACTGGTTTGCGGCGCGAACCATGGTTAGCCCAAAAGATTTGGCAGAAACCGGTAGCCACTGGCCATGTCCAAGATAATATCCTTTCGGATCATGGTTATTGTGGCTCGCCATTGGAGAGCATAATTGATGGATTAATGCCTCTTATTTCCGAAACAGGGATATCGGGCATGACGTAGAAGATTCTATGGAGTATGCAGGTTTATATAGTTGACAGAATGGCAATTTGGTAAGCAGGCATGCTTGGATCTCGCTGTTTTCAGGGATAATTTACTGCTGAAGATTTTCAGACATGAGACATGATGACGTATCCACTGCATATTTCAGTGAAATATCATGCACATCGTGCGGAACGCGATATTTAAAGAATTTTTAGACGTCAAACGCATACGTGATGTGTAGCAACAAGACATAGAAAAGTGGTTGGAAGACAGCGTCTTTCTGTACCCTTTTTGGTCGGATGAAGCGGATGTCGTAACCGAGTCCCTGTCGTGGAAACGGTAGAGCAAGATTCGTAGAAAGCTCTTTTTAAATTGCCCTCAGGATTCTTTGGAAGTTCTTTGTTGGTATGGTTGGTACGGTTCTCCATACCATCAAGTTGGTATGGAGAAGGCCAACTTCTGCCGAAGCTAGTTAATTGTCCAAATTGTTGAGCCGATGATGAGTTTGCTTAGGACTTGAGACAATCCAGGAACGGAATCTGACACGTATTCAATATACGTGTGCGTTGGTTATGACGTCCGTTGTCTGACAGGATGGATGATCGCCAACTGCCAGAACATCCTGCAAAAGCCAGAACTTTCTTTATAGCGCAGCATTTTATAGTCTACGCCAGCTGAGAATTTGTACCGGAGCACCGGTCACGACATCACCAATGCCTGTGTCGTCTCTTGATCGAGCGGCGTAAATTCGCGGCCTTTTGTCCTCATGAGGTCATCGTCCGGTAAGGGACTGCTTATATCTTGTCGTTTGTGACCAGCTAGACGGGTCCAGAAGTCATCCTCATGTCGTCGCGCGGGTATTTGCGATCGCGCTACGTAGCCATGTGAGGGCGCAGGATTACTGTCTACTCTGCTCGGTAACGGTGTAGCCGTCTGATCAGTAGTCTGTTCCTCATAGGGTGGTTCTCCGTCATCAATCATTTCCTGGTCCATTTCGGTTGACTCGTCAGTACCCTCGTCATTTACTTGTAGCATAAAAAGCATGTCCTGTTCGCATACGGGTGATAAAGAACCGCCATTGGGGAAAGCTAATATCGCTAATATGGGAGTTTGAACACGAGGCGGTTCTGTCTCAGGGTTTACACGAATTTTAATGGGGCGTTCCACAGTGTCGTAGTTTCTGTTCCAAACGCCATTGATATCATTAATCCGGAGATATTCTGAATGAACTAGTCCAGTTTTATGGGCGCCACGTTTTTGATCACGCAGTTCTCTGCTCTGATTTTGGGTACAATGGGAAAGTGAGACTTCCATGCGCCTCTCGAAGGAAGGCATATTTGAATGCTTCAGGAACTACTAGTTGGGAACGGGTCAAAAGATGTGTTTTAGTACCTTACGCTAAATGGTACAGTACATCATTCTCGTTGTAATATACCTCACGTTATCATCGTCTCCCTCCAGTATTTGTTGAATTATTTTTTAACAAGTGGTCCTTTTGTGCTATCCTGAACTCAGCGTCTGTCGGGGATATGTAGCACGTTTGGCATACGGAACATCCTTTGTGTCTGAGAATTTCGATCCTATCAATTTCTGAGGTATCCACCCGTTGATCATGCCAATCTAGTCGTTCACCGTCGGATAACTTTTCCACTTGGGCCGAGTTCGGAGGTCTAAAGGGAAGATATGCGGTAACATTTTTAACACCACTGATGTACTCAATGTTGCAGCCGTATTCATTCATCATGATAGCCCATCGTTGTACTCGAGGATTCTGCATTTCGCTTGTGAAAATGTGTTTCAGAGGCTTATAGTCCGCATGGCCTGTAAGCTTGGTTTATAAAACGATAGGGCGATGCTTTTGTAAGCTCTATACGTTAGTGAACGTTTCGCGTTCTATAGTCGGCCATTTTTTGTGCATCCGTGAATTGATGCAATACGTACTGCATCACTCTTGATCCTCTTGTTTTTGCATCAGCGCCGCGCCTTAAGCGTATTGCGAAGCGTCTGTAAATATCAAAAAGGGTGAGGTGACGTCCGGAAAGACCAAGATTGGGGCTTTCATCAACCTAGTCTTGAGAGCATCAAATGCATGTTACGTTTAATCACCCCCCTGAAATCTCGTATTATTTCTCGTGAGTGTTGCCAAATGTCTCGTAATTTCGCTGAACTGTGGGACGTACTTCCGGTTCCATTCCAATAAATCTGCGGAGCTCTCTAAGGTTTCTAGGTGGCCGCATATTGTTGATGACTTCAACTTTGTTTGGGTCGACGTTAATTCCTTCATTCGGTACTATATGCCCCAAATAATTTAGTATGTCTTTAAGGAACTCGCACTTTGACATTTTGTGGCGAAGGCTCGCGCGTCGTGGTCGGTCAAATACTGTCTCGAGATGTTGCAACTGTTCGTCGAAAGTCGCGCTATGGACGATAATGTTGTTGAAGGAGCCAACTGCAAAGGATTTGACGTCGCTCAAAACGCAGTCATCAGATTTTGGAATGCTGCACGGGAACCAGCCAAACCAAAAACTATGGAGCTGAATGGAAAACGCATTTATACGTTCCAAAGACAGTTTTTGTTTATCTACTTGCTTCATCGAATCTGTTTAATTTAATCTGTTCCTTTTTTGTCAATGCAATCACAGATGATAGGCACGGGGAATTACTTAGGCGAATGATACCTGCTTTCATCATCTCATCTACATGTTTGTCCAAGATTGCTTTTTGTGTCAGAGAAATTCTTTATGGCTTCTGTCTAGTAGGTGGACTGTTTTGCTTGTTTATTATCATTTCGGCAGCGTGGGTAACTGCTGGTTCCGAGTCTTTCACCACAAAGACGTCTATGTTTTTCTCCAAAAGCTGTTCATAAAGTGGGCGTCATCCTTCTGCAAGGTGCATTAAATTGAGCATTTTCAGCTGGTGGTTCGACTGTGTGGGTATCATCGGTTGTTTTGCTTGTACATGACTGACTTCAACCTGATCTTTTGTTTTGAGATTGGACGCTTTGCCTAGATTTTGACCTTTCCGAAAGTAAAAATGTCCGCCTGTCTCATTCGTGATTGCCCAGGGAAGTGCTTGCTTTCGGACATTTTAACGACTGCATTAAGTAAAAGAATTCCAGGTTCTTATTCAACGTGTTGGGAGGAAGAAAGTTGAGTCAGAATAAGCTGTTCTCCAGCGGTCTTATTTTTGAACGGTGACATTTGATTTTGGCTGATGGTCTAGGTGTAGATAAATGCTTTCTGACAGTCTTACTAAGTTAATTTCCTCTTGACAGTTTTGCCCTTGCTTTAGTGGAAACAATGCTTTACCTATTTTCAGTAGCTGATTATGAAAGTCAAGGAGAGCTCTTCATTGACTGAGAAAGTCCACATCTAAAATCATGTTACCTAGTCCCGTAACGACACAAAAATGAACGATACACCCGGGTTTTACCCAATGTAGTTTGAATTTTTACCATTTTTGTGACTGAAATTCGGTGGCCTGAAGCAGATACTTAAGGTACTTTTTCCTGACAAGTTTGTTTTATCAAAGTGTCGTCGCATAACCCTAAATTTGTGTCACTCACCAGCCAAAATCGATCCAAAAGTATCAAAAAGAGTGCAAACCCTGTTTTTGCCTATGCAGACGTGTATAAGGGGATATTTTTTGTCCGCATCTATGTTGCAAATTTCACTTGCTCAACTGGATGGAAGACCTACTTGGTTTCCGACATTCGAACTACTAGAACATTGACAGTTTCCACGAGCTGTAGATTTTTCTCTGCAGGGGGTCTGTGGCTCATTTGACTAGATCGATGTCGATTGGCTCCTCTCTGTCCCGCATTTCTATCTGCCTGTAAAATTTTTCCTCCATGGGTGCGATATCTAAGGCAGAGTTCAGGGTCAAAGGCTGTTGGCCGAGCATTTACCCTCACTGGGGTAATGCTGTCGTCGCTATTGTAAGGCACTGACTACCTCCCTCACCGGGACAATGCTGTCGTCGCTATTGTAAGGCACTGGCAACTTCCCTCGCTGGGGTAGTGCTGTCGTCGCTATTGTAAGGCACTGACCAATTCCCTCACTGGGGTAATGCTGTCGGCGCTATTGTAAGGCGCCCGGCACCGCGCTCACTAGCTTAAGCGGGGGTCGATTTGATGTCCCGATGAGGTGAATAAAACAAATCGCATAGTGCTGGCTTCCCGTCACTCGCTTAGCGTGAGTAGTCCCTCGTGCCTGCTGTCGAACTGCCACAGGCCAGCAAACGCCGAGGCATAGGCACACGTGTTCGGGGGCGGGGGATGGGCTGTAGTGCGCATCCAGCGGACGCGTGGGCATGCATTCAAATGCGGTGCTCATGTCGAACTTCCTCACTTGGCAAACGTGTGCGCGTAGCGATCGAGTTCACATTCGCAAGATACATTGCTGCCGTGGTGCGCCCGATGCGTGGGTGGCACCGGTGCGCGTGCTCATGTGGTGCGCTGTATCGCTCTCGCGTAGTCGTTCCTCCAGCCGCTCAATGCCTGCCGGCAGCGGGCAGCGGTCAATGCGTTAAGCGCCCTGAGTGAGCAGCCAGCGAAAGCACCGCACTTCAAACGTGCATGCGGGGCCGGAACCCCGTGGCCGGGTGCTAACGCCGCCGGCGGCGCCTGGCGGGAGCGTGACGTCATGGGGTGTGTGTGACGCTGGCCGCTGCGTGGCTGCGGTCGCCCGGCACGACGGTCCGCTACGGCGATGGCAGGCGCGCGCTCGGGCTGCGAGCGCTGATCTTTTGCCGCTGCACAAAATGGTCGGGCCGGGTGCCACCCGGAGGCTGTGCGGTCCTGCCCGCGGCCACTCGGGTGCCCACGGGCATGGCGTTCCACGCGGGCTGTGCGGTCCTGCCCGCGGCCACTCGGGTGCCCACGGGCATGGGGTTCCACGCGGGCAGTGCGGTCCTGCCCGCGGCCACTCGGGTACCCACGGGCATGGGGTTCCACGGGGGCAGTGGAGGAAGCGGCGTGGCGGTCGGTACAGAGCCACGAATCTACCCCCGAAGTTGGGCTGAAGCCGGGCATCGGAGCATTGTAGGGCTGTGACCGCGCCAAGCACTGAATGGAGGATCTGTACTCTGCAGCTCCCAACTCCATCGGGCACAGCCTACATGACGGGGCCGTCTGGGCACCCGTGATGCGGTAGCATTAGCATTACTCTGCCATCAGCCCGTCAGCGTCGTGCTGCCAGCGCGGCTTTGTGCGTGCCAAGCCGACCCGAGCATCATCCCATGGCATGGCAGGTGGCCCCTACCCGGCGCCCACTTTGTGCCTTAATGTATGCGAAGAAAGGGTCTCGGTAGAAAGCGGTATTTGTAGTGTTCGGCGGTATTTTCGCGACTAGTGACGTGCGGTTCATTCGGACCTAGCAGTGTTAAAAGCACCAACTCATTGTGTGATAACCATTGTACCAAGTGCATTCATTGGTAGGATCGTTTACGTGTCGTTAGAGAACCACGTGACGTTGCACATGCTTCTGTTTTGTATTCTATAATTCAACTTCTTCTCTTTGCGCACAGAATATTTCAGAGGCTACAGGAGAGGTACAGCCTCACAACCATATCTTCCGACCTTATCTTGCCTGGGTTGAGAGTTGCAAGGCCGCTTCGAAGGCCGTTTTTGCATGCTGCCAGCCAGGGGTAAAAAGCCGTAGCGCCATCAGGTGATTTGTCCAGCAAAAGTATTTTTAGGTTCCGACGAATTAAACATGCTGTTATGTTAAGAAAAATGTATTTGGGCTTGCTGGGACTGACCGAAAAGGTAAGCTGTCATAAAAGGTATATGTCCGGCAGGTGGTCCGATATATCTGGCATGACGATGCGTCATGACTCCACAACACCTGGCAGCTGGCCCAAAACACAACGTTACGTACTATTTAGATGGGGGGGAGGCGAACGTCACATGTTACGTTGAGGAGAGGCATGGTCAAACTGGAAAAATACAAGACGTATATGAATGGACCCGCTGTGCCACTTCGTACCTTTTTCTTTCAAAAGTTGTGGTGAGTGACGTAATGATCGTGGCATCGCTGACGCTACGGAGCGCTATCAACCGACGCTTAATGCTTAAGGTTCTTAGATGCCCTTGGAAGCAAATAAGTCATACCAGAGTAAAGATTAGTCATGGTAGTTTTGATAAGACTGAAAGACCTCTCATCCGATACCACGTTTCACGGACCAAAGAAGGGCTTCGTCATAACGTTCATAACGTAAGTGGCCGAATGAAGACAGTTATTGGAGCCTTTTCGTAAAACCTCGAGACCACCGAGATCTCTCCTTTTTGGGCACTTGGTGTGTTTTTGGACCTTGCGATGAGTTCACCGGACATTTCCAGCAAGTCAAAAGTATGTTTTTGGTAACGAATTAACCCATTGTTTGTGGCATATTTGTCTACGTATATTGCGTTGGCATCTCCTGCTTGGATTCCGGCATTGTGTTGCTCTGTATGATTATTGGTCGCAACTTCGTTCGGACATTCATAATTTCCGGACAAATCATTCATTTTCTCTTGAAATATGCAAGCTTTTCAAACACGTTTGTTTGATTTGCGCTATGGATATATTGTGTTCGATTTGTACAAAAGCCGGCCGTCCGGCTGAGAGGCGGCGTATCAGGTCCGCCGATGGACGAGAGCAGGGCGGCAAGAGCATGGCCTCCAGTCTGCCACCACGGCACTACCGCAGGACGCGGCCACTGCAGGAACATCGCCGACACAGAGACCTCGGCGCAGACGACATCACACTATGAGGCGCCGCCGGGGTCACTGGTGCACTCAGCAGGCGCCGTCGGCACGCTGCGCATGCGCCTTTGGTCGCCGTCCGCAGCCTGCGCATATGGTGATTCGCAGGCCACATGGAGCCAGTATCGAGGAAGCCAGTCTGGAAGAGTTGTGGTCGGGCGGCTGGCGAGCCACAGTGTTGGCCGCTGGGTCCGCGTCCAGAGCCGCCGGAGCTCCGGCGGGGCCGCGGGGTCCGTGGCCGGCGGCGGTGGCTCCTCCGGCGGCCGGGCCGACGCCTGCCTCTTGTCGGCGCCAGCTGTAGACGGCGTCTGGCCCTTCTCACCTGGGCGCTGTCGGTCGGGTGGCGGCCGCTCACCTGGGCGCTGTCGGTCGGGAAAACGAGCTCCGGGCGGAGCACGGTGGAGGTCCGGCGGTGCGCCGGCTCGCGCCCCGCGCCAGACAGGAGCCGCCGCTCGACGATCCGCCGCCGGCCGGCACGTCCGGTCTCTGCACTAAAGCGCCGGCGTTCCGCTGTCGGCATCACTCCACTCCGCGGCTGCAGGCCGGGCTGATATGATACCAGGAGCAGGGCGAGCGCGGGCGTCTCCGTCCGCTCGTAGCGGCGGGCTGGACGTGACGACAGGGCGGTTGTCGTCCCCGTTGATGCCTCTGACGGCCCTCCCGTCACCGGGTCAGCTGACCCGGTGGAGGCAAACATGCAGTTGGCACACGCATACAGCCAACACTTAACAAAAATATGTGCGTGAGAGCAGGGCTACGTCCTCCGTCCAACGATGACACCCATGTGTGACAGCACACTCCAGCGAATACTGCTGAGCGCTGCGGGCGGCGGCCGCGTGGCGGCGCTAGTGTAGTCGGAGCAGGGCGGCGACCAGCGGCACGAACAGGACGAACGGCGCCGGCCGGATGACGAGTGCGGAGTTGCAGAAGTCGCCCTTGCATACGCATAGCACCTGGCCCTTCTTGGTCTGCTTGGAGCACGAGGACTTGTGACTGCCGAAACAGCTGCGCATCTCATTGCCATGCTCGTCTGAAACCCCACGGAACGATGTCAGAACGGACAGGCGTCAGACAAATGGCTGGAGGGCGGCGGCCGACCGGCGGTCAGCATGCAGTCGGCGTGCGGCGCTGCCCGTCTGCGTCGCCTCGCCACCCTGGTGCGGGCCGCAGCGGCGGCCGGGCGCGCGCGCGGCCCAAAGCGGACAATGGGCCGCGTCTGCACCCGGCGCTAATTGGCGGCGGTGAGGGTGGCGCCGGCCGGGCGCAGGCGCCGACCGCCAGCGAGCTGCGCTGGGCCCAGCTGATTAGAGCCCGCCGGCCGGGTCGCTGGTCGGTCAGCGCCGCGCTCGAGCGGGGCGGGTCTGGCGTCAGGGGCTCGACCACCGCCGCCAGACCTCACCATCGGCGCCGACTGCTGCTGACGCGCTGGCGCTCCGACAGCGGCCCCTCATATCTGTCCGGCGGCGCTCCGACACGGGCCGGTCTGGCGCCTGCCGTCGGCCGCGCATCGCTGACGTGGCAGGAGCGGGAGGAGCGAGCAGGTGATCACATGAGATGCGGCGCACTCGTTACAGCAGTGGTATGTCATTTGCCACTTCACTCATCATTCCCTTCCTGTAACGGCGGGGTAATGGTTATTTGGGCGTTTGGGCGTGGCGTGGAGGAGGAGCGCTAAAACCGTTTGCTGCTAAATTGGGGGGGGGGGGGGGGGAGAGGGGTCAGGTTGTAGGCTGCTGGCACTAGAACTGATTGGTAACCCAAACCATTTACTGATACTGAGGGGGTGAGCGGCCATGTTCCAGTTCAGGTAGAGCTGGTGGCGGCGGGGGTCCGTCAGCGGGTGTCCCGAGACTCGGCGCCCCGCTGGCGACGGCCACCGGCCGCGCTCCGGCCGGTGACGGTACCCAGAGCAGCTCTGCCGCCCCTTTCCCGCGCTGAGATCATAAGTCATGCATATACAAACATAGAGGCGCGCTGAGTGTGACCTGTCCAACGCCGCCGCTGCGCACCCAGCACGGCCGTTTCCGGTGACACTCGCCCCCGTGTGCGCTCCGGACAGCCGTGTCTACTGACACTCGCCCCCGTGTGCGCTCCGGACAGCCGTGTGTATTGACACTCGCCCCCGTGTGCGCTCCGGACAGCCGTGTGTATTGCCACTCGTCGCTCGGGGCGTGAGCCCTGGGGGGTCATGTCGATTTACGTTCGCTCGGGATGTAAGCTCCGGACGGCCAGGTCAGTTGACCCTCGCCCGGGATGTAAGCTCCGGACGGCCGTGTCGATTTACGCTCGCCCGGGATGACTCAGAGCGATCGCAGCGAGGTGCGTCATATCCGGCTGTCAGCCACGCACGGCCTTCAGGCGCGTTCCATTCCGTCTGGCCGCTGCGGTGGGCGCCGTAACGTCGCCGCAGGCGGTATGTCCAACCGCCATTTGCCGGCCGGCCGGCGAGTCACGCGGAAGGTGACGTCAGTAATGACGTCAGCCGGCTGCGGCAACCACAACGAGGCCGGGCTGGTAACGACCGACGGTTGCCGGCGCGAAGCGGCGATCGCTGCGCCCGAGACTGCGGCAGCGCCACGCGGCGCCGCCGATAATGCAGATATCTCCCAGTTAAGTGTCACCACAAGCTTCCTCACGCGTCCGGCGAAGGGAAATGATTTCTCGTAAAGTGTAACGCGCCTGACGGGGCGCCCACGCAGTGCGGCGGCCCCTTCGTCGCGGCCGTGCGCTTGCCCCGCTGCCGGGCCGCCTGGGGCCGGCTCGACAGCTGCGCCGACAGGGGGGCGTGTCCGGGAAAGGTGGCGGCACTGGTGCCGGGCGCGGTCGGCTGGCGTCGGCACCGCGCGGCCGCGGTCTGTGCCGCCGTTGGTGTCTGGCGGCAAGCTCTGGCGTCCAGAGCGCTTATGAAGCCTGGCCTGGGCACGATAGGGCGCCGCGCAGAACTAATTGCTCTGATGTGCGGGCGTCAGTGCTGTTTGTCCGGGGGCGCCGGACTGATTGGGAGTACGGGCGTAAGTCCAGTCTGCTTTACACGAGTCAGCAGATATGCCCGCTCTGTGCGTGAACTGATTCCGACCGCGCGTCAGATCTCGGTCAAAGAGGCAGTCTGGTCCACCCTCCTTCTAGCCCCTGCTTCTTCCACCCAGCTGGTAGGAGTGCCCCCTCCCTGGTCGGTTCATCTACTCAATCCGGCGCCATCCAGCTGGTAGGAGCCGCCCCCTACCCTGGTCGGTCGTCTTCTCAATCCGGCGCCACCCAGCTGGTAGGAGCCGCCTCCTACCCTGGTCGGTCATCTACTCAATCCGGCCGCTGATGGCGGCCTCCGACCTCCTCCCGATTTCTGGGGAGGCCCTAACCTAGCTGGCCGCTGGGGGCAGCCTCCCATCTCCTCCCTACTTCTGGGGAAGCTGTACCCTGGCTTGCCGCTGGGGACAGCCTCCAACCTCCCCCAACCTCTGGGCAGGCCCTACCCCAGCCGGCCACAGGACTGGACAGGCTGCCAGCTGCGCCGGCCGTCACCCACCTCGGATCTTGACGCAGCTCTTGTCTAGGCCCCGCGGGCAGGTCATCTCGAACCGCAGCTCGGGGTCCTTCGCGTTGAGCTGAGAGCAGCGCGGGTAGGAGTGCGCTCGGTCGGCGATGGCGCGCGGCAGCGAGACGCCGGCGATGTTGCGGTTCGGCATGCAGGCGTAGCAGCGCAGCGCCGCCGCACCTGGAACGGGACAGCGCAGGTCAGGTCAGGTCAGGGGCGGCGGGGCTGCAGCTGGGGATGAGCCGGCGGCGGCTGGTGACGCCTCCGGTGGGGTGCACTTCTGCGGCGCGCCGCCTCCGGTGGTGGCCAGCTTCGGTGTGCACCGTTCTGGCCGGCGGCGTGGGTTCTTGCAGCGACAGTGACGGATAGAAATCCAGCAATTTTATCGAGGATCGCGCATGCGGCTGAAACCGTTGGGATCGGCCCCGAAAGGCTCCGTGAGTCAAGGCAACCAGTGGTCTGAGTCTTCAGGAAGAGAGGGCAACGGATTGTGATCGTAGAGAACACTTCTGGAGCAATTCGCCACAATTGAGAGTGCAGCGGACCCCCGAAGTCTGAACCATGCCCGTCGTTTGGCCGCCGACCGGATGCGCGCACTTGTCCAAAACAGCAAGCGCTTCTCGCAAGCGCCATGCCCTTGTGCACTTATGACGTGCTGCTGCTGCTGCCGCTAGCATGCTGCTGCCGTCGCCTGCTGGTGAGCCGGCCGGCCGCGTGGGCGGCGTGACACTTCCGCAGGTCTTCCCCTGATCGTCGGCTATCAGCCACCTGTCCGGTTCCGCCCAGGCCGGCAGCGCCAGCTGACCACCACCACCGCGCCACACAGGGAGAGGCAGCCGGCCCAGTGCCTCCGTGACGCTTGCACTGCCACTCGGGCTGTATAATAAATGCTACCGCTACGGTGACAGCTATATTACATAACGCCATTGGCTCTGTGCAACTTTGGCCACCGTTTGGGCCAAGATCCCAGCGTGCACCTCTCACGGCTGCACGTGATCGTCGTTTGAGGGCGCATGAGCATCGCAGGACCGTGTTGCGCCACGCGTGCGTTGTTTTCACCGCCGTCCGCGCCGCGTGCCGTGTGGACGCGCGCCGCCCTTCTCAGGGTGACCTTCCGAACGGCCGGGCCCTCGTTAGCATTTGCAGCGCTCATTGGAGCTCCGACTGTTTTTTGGCGTGGTCCCATAGGCGTGTGGGCGTGTGTCTTGTCAGTGAGATCCGGCGTCCGCACCGGTGGCGTCCGTCGCGACAAGCGCGATCGATAGACAATCGCGCCTTTCGTGGTTTCTCCGCCGTAACGATATTTGATCCGCGAGATGGCAGGAGTGCTGGTGATCGCTGAGATCGGGCCAGTTGCCAGACGCTCTTCAGCCATGTAATCCCCAAACCATGTTTGAAGATTGTGGTGCCAGCTGTCTGTAGCGCCCTAAGCCGTTCGTGCTTACCCAGCCAGTTTCCCATGCACTTTTTCCAACCTTCGGTCTCACCCAGTGGCTTGTTTTCACAGAATATATTGGCGAACTGAACAGAGAAAATGTCTAACCGTATCCCACCTCCCCCCGCCCAGAAAAGCCATGGTAGTCGTGGACGCAAAAGTAGTCTCTGGGAGCAGACGCGACCTACATTTGGCAGACAGGACGTGTGTAACAAATAAAGCACCCCGTGAATGAAGGCACGCCGCCAATAAACACCCAGCGAATAGAGCAGCCACCGAAGGCGAGGGCCGACCACGTCCTTGTGCTTTCGGCGTTCACCTTGCTGTTTCCGCGCGCGACGTGTTTGCGTCATTGTCCGGAAGATGGCGTTGTGTGTGGCGCTGCCGGCCGGTCCCCGCTGGCGCAAGCGAGCCGCCAGACGGTCGTGCTGGCGCGGCTGCACGCTGTCGGCGCAGCTAGGCCATGCGCCGCCGCTTGACCCAAAGACGAGGGGCGTTGTCGGCGGGCGCCGCCGGCGTCGCTGGAGACGGGCCCTGTAGTGGGCGTGCCGCGGCTACCAGGCCCATTGACGGGCATACCACGGTTGGCATGTGCAAACCCTGAGTCATGTTGCGGCCATGTGTCGTGAAAGGCAGACCCGGTGATATGCGTACTTTGGCGTCTTCTGCGCCTCTCTTGTCGCCAGCTCGGGTCTGGCCGGTTCTCTGACCCGCAGGCCAGTGCCAGAAGCGCGCGCCGCCGGCCGTGGCGACGCACGACGCGGCCCGATCCGCGGAATTCCCGCCGGAGGCCGGCGGCCGGAATGGCGCCGACATGACAGCCGGGCTTCTCCGCGCGCCCAGGAGAGGAGGGGAGGGGAGAGGCTGGAGCGGCGCCAGGTCTGTCCGGGCCCGTGCCAGCCGCGGTCGGGCGCCGGCACGACTCCTGCCCACGGGCGAGGCCCGCCCGCTGGTCGCTGTTACGGCACCTGCGGTGCGCCGAGCCGTAGGCACGGTCCGCTGGGTTTGTCGAAAGCTGGCATTGCAATCCAGAGGGCGCAGGAAGCGCGGCAGGATTTGGGCGTTCGTCACGTGATGGGTAATGATTGTTTTCGGATAATGAAAAGGCGGTGCGGCCTCTGCACAGTCCAGAGCTGGATAAGCGAAAAAGATTAAAACGTGGGCACGAAATCGGTAGCTTTCACACGCCGTCCTTTGTGATGGGGCTTAAATTATTTACGATGAGCTTAGTTTCGCGAAACCACTTTGGAGGGAGAGGGTTCAACAGGATAAAACGGCTAAAGTTACCGCTAAATCTGCCCCCACAATGGCTTAACCTACCCCAAGATAAGGTAGGCTTAACCCACCTTAACCTACCCCTAAAGACGTTTATGTTGTTGGATTTAACCAACCTTTTCTCAAACATTGGAGATGTGCCCCTCACCTGAAAAGGGAGCTGAAATGCGGGAACAGCAGTCAGCGACTGCTTCCATATGAGATAACGGTCTCAAGCTATTCATAGTATGAAGGATTCCAAGTAGCGCGTCAAATTCCAAAAATATTGTGCATTTTCGGCGAAACAACGAATGAACGAAGGAATGAGCGAACCATGAGATCTTGGAATCAATCCCTTACCCGAACTGCCACCAGTTGTACGATTCCTGGACACAAGTCTAGAGCGACTTCGATGCTTGAAATATGAACCTCAGTCGTTTTGGCACCCCATCCTATCAAAGTTCTCACCATGCTTTTCAACCTACAGTTAGGTTGAGTTTCTGGCAGATGGGGGCGGGAGGGAGGGTTGAGGTTCGCGGGGTCAGTTTGGCAATATCCTCCCAGGTGGTTGGGCGAATGATTATGTAGTCCTGATCAACGCGGTCCATCTCTGAGGCAGTGTATACTGAACCGGTCGTGCTGGGGACGCCGCGCCTTGGAGCAGGAGGACAGCTGCCGGAAGGCCGGGGCCAAGGCCAAGCCTGTGGCAACTCAGAGCACCCGACCGGAGAGTCGGAGACAGGAACAGAGACAGAGAGAGAGAAACTACGAGTTAACGGCATTTGTGACATGGCACTTTCCTGCTCTCATGCGGCTTTCCTGTTCATACGTGTTGTGAAAGCAAGCCACCAAGGTACAACATTACCCTAGTATAACCATCCCGCCCCCACCTCTAGGAAACACTAAAAGACTGCAGACTTCTGGGCCGTCCCTCGAAGAGGCGAACGCAGGCTGAGAATGGCCTCGAGGATTTACTCGGAACCCACTTACTTGGTGTCCCATTAGGTATATCCTTGACCATATGACAGTCGGTGAATTACCGACTTTCGTGCAAACTGCGGAGTGCATCGTTCAGCTGTCATCGACGTGTCCATTGCGTCGCAATCGAGGGCGATCAGCGCTCGGGAGCGCGCGGACATTGGTTCATCGGCGCGATCGGGCGCACCGGAGTGCGCGCGGAGAGCGGGCCCGACCGACTCGCGTGTGTCAAGCGTGCTCGCCTCGGTCCACTGCCGGCGGCGCGGCCGTCCCGGGTCCGGAGCGACAGGACGCGCCGCCGCCCGGCTCCCTGTTGCCGCAGGACCGGCCCCTCGCCGCCGCGCTGGGGTTGCCATGGCGGGCCGCGTGGCGGCCGTCAGTGCCCGCCAAGGTCGGAGCGGGAGCTGGAGGCGACGGAAAACTTGTGGGAAGGAAACTCCAGGGTCGGGCCGGGCTGGCGCCGATCGAGGCCCGTGTCGGCTCCGCCGCGATGGCTGTGTCGAAGAATTGCGCCCGCTTATTCCAAGGTCAGCGTGACATAAATCAGCGTCCGAGGGAGGCCACCGGCTGGAAGCGGGCCGTGTAAAGCGATGGAGCGGCGATCGGCGCCGCACGCCGCCCGGAGTCAGCTTCGTCTGACCAGCACCCACGTACGCCGACTGGATGTCACTGGGGAACCTCTCCCTGCAACATCCAGTCGGCCCCGTCGAGTGTCTGGCAGTTAACGGATTTCTCCGCCGCGTGTTGTTCGCAGTCACGGTCGGAGGCCGCAGCCAACTGGCACGGGGATGGCTGGGCGAATGTTTTCACTTAGCCGATGCCCCATGATCTTGAGGGACAGATGCTGCCCAAGGTTATCTCTAACCTAAAGCGCACGGGCGTTACGCCGAGCTTCCCCGTGGTGCCCCACCAATTTTTTAGAAAGTGACAGCGTCACCGGCGGATACCCGTCCTTCGCACTTACCATTCACCGCCAGAATGACCAGCGCCAACAAGCGAAGCACGCCACTTCATCATCACCGCGCACTCTGACAGTCTGCGTTATCCCCCGACAGAAGATTCAGCCACCGTTGCCAGGGACGACCTACCCCAGCCGCTCACGCGCCGCCACTACTCGGGCTCCGGCATTGCCGAACGGCCGCGCAGAGCAGCCGCCAATAACGGAACGGCGCGCTGGCGGGCCAGGGGGTGTTGCGGCTGGCTGTTTCCGCCCAGCCTCCAGCGGCCCAGCTGTCCGTCGAGGGTTGTGGGGTGCGGGTTGGGGGGGGGGGGGGGAAGAGGGAGGGGGACGGTTTTGACGATGAATGACTTCATAATTTCTCGAACGTATGCGGAAATGTGCACAAGGGCGCGATTCAGGATTGCTCAATGGGATGCAGGTGGGGCACGGATAAGAAATTCACAGAAACCCAGCTTAGCGCGCCCCAGAAACGCAAAATGTCTTGCGTGCCTCAAGACAATTTCGCCTGTTTTCGATCTTATTTGTACGTGTCTACCAGGTATTTTTACCCGT